TTATTCAACAATTGCTGGACCTCTTATTCGATTGACCAGGAAGAATATTTCTTTTGTATGGAGTACTGAATGTCAAAAGGCTTTTGAAACTTTGAAGCATTGTCTGACATCTGCCCCAATTCTTAGCTTTCCGAGGACAATCGGCGAATTTGTATTGGATACTGATGCCAGTGGTTTTGGGATTGGTGCAGTGTTATCTCAAGTTCAGGACGACAATGAACGTGTACTTTCTTATGGCAGTAAGACTATGTCCAAGTCTCAACGTAGATACTGTGCTACACACCGGGAACTATTAGCTGTGGTGTGGGCTGTTCGTCACTTCAGTCATTTTCTTCTCGGGAGACCGTTCAGAATTCGCACAGATCATGCTGCTCTGAAATGGTTGATCAATTTTCGTGAACCTCAAGGAATGTTAGCAAGATGGATATTAACACTTGGCGCTTATGACTTTAAGATTGAACACAGACCTGGCGTGAAACATGGTAATGCTGATGGATTGTCACGCCAAGTTCGCAAATGCAAGCGAGAAGATTGTTCTGATTGTGGTACCAATGGTGATGTGGCTGTGAGTAATGTTATTGTAAGTGCAAAATCAAAACAGCCCGGTCAATCATCGTCAGACGGTTCCGATTGTAATTGGCTAGATACCTACACAGATGAGCAAATTAAATCTTGGCAAAGTGAAGATCCAGATATTTCTGCTGTTTTGAAATGGAAACTACTTACTGCTCAGAAACCTGACATTCAAGAATACATGCCTGAGTCAACAGTGACCAAACGTTTGATGTCACAATGGGATTTGATTTTTGTAGATAATGGACTTCTCTATCGTCGTTGGATTCCTGATTGTAAATCGGAGGAATCGCATATCCAATTGATTGTTCCATCAAATTTGAGGCAGGATTTGTTCCATAAGCTACATTTTTTGCGCACTGCAGGTCATCTTGGTGCCAATCGAACTTTCAAGAGTATAAGGCGCAGATTTTATTGGCCTGGTTTCAAAAGGGACATTCTTAAATGGTGCAAATTTTGCAAGTCTTGTGCTTCAACAAAGATGCTTTACGGAAGAAGGCAAGGAGATCTCAAACAACTTATATCTGGAGCTCCTATGGAAAGGATTGCCATTGATTTTCTTGGACCATTGCCTGTAACTGAAAATGGAAATGAACACATTTTGGTTTTGTCGGACTATTTCTCTAAATGGGTGGAATGTTTTGCTTTACCAAATCAGCGAGCTGACACCACTGCTGATGCATTGGTTACTCAATTCTTTTCGAGATTTGGGGTACCAAGAATTCTCCACTCAGATCAAGGAAGAGACTTTGAATCAAAATTATTTTCAGAAATGTGTCAATTGTACGGGATTCAAAAGACTCGAACAACTCCATATCATCCTCGTTCAGATGGACAAGTTGAACGTTTCAACAGGACCATACAGCAGATGTTGAAAGCTTTTGTAAATGAGAATCGAAATGATTGGGACGACCATCTCCCATATCTTTGCATGGCATATCGCTCCACTGTGCATGATAGTACAGGATATTCACCGAACAAGTTAATACTTGGACGAGAAATCGAGATGCTTGTTGATGTTATGTTTGGCAAACCAGAGTCATCTACTCATCCTTGTTACACTGAGTTTGTCGAATGGTTTTCCTGTGCAACCGAAAAAGCTTTTCTTCATGCTGTATAGGATTCAGAAGAATTCGGGGACACGTTCTCGAGTTGTACATGTTGACAAGTTAAGACCTTACCTTCATGAAGATGAAGAAGACAACGACATTGACTTAACCGGATTTGACATTTTACCTGATGTGGAACCTATTATGGAAAATAATGAGCAGGCTGTTCATGATATTTTTGATGAATTACCTTTCTCTTCAAGGCCAGACACTGTACCAGAAGAAGTTACAGTTCATGCGAACTTTGATAATGGCCAACGTACTAGGCGAAGGCCTAGATATTTGGATGATTACATTTGATTTGACTGTGATAGTGCTTTAGACATTCCGTTTGAGTGTACAGTTCTTTACAATTTCTTCACATTTTTATGGTTTTTCAATTTTGAAGATGGAAAATTTCTTTGTAATTTCCCATCTGAAAAAGGGGGGAGTAATGAGACGACCACGTCTATAACTCTGTTTTATTTTGTATGTCAATATTTATTCTTACCACTTGAGTCACTAGTGAGCAGCTGTGTAACTTTCCCTTTCTGCTGGTCTGTCAGACTGCCGGTAGTGTAGATATTTCCTCTGTGTATTAGGTTATTATTATAGTGTTTTAATGCCGTGAATCTATGTAATTATTGTTGTAAAATGATATTAGTAGTACAGGTTTACTGTTTCTCTAGTTTGGCATAGCTCTGTTCACTAGTTAGCTTGTATTTAACGTTTCCGTAACTAGTCTATTTTCGCAGTTTATTTCCCGTGTGATTTCTATGCGTATTTCCATGTATATTACGTGTTTGTCGATAAGATAGGATTTGTGTTGTATCTTTAGTGTCATACTAGTTATTCTTATGTATATCTAGGTATGTTTTACCCGGTTTTTAGTATCCCATTATAAGTAAATAGTTCATGACTGTGACGTCATAGACCAATTCCGTATCTTGTGTTACGTATGTATCCTACGGTATTTGTATTGTGTTTTATTTGTTTATTGTATTTCTGATTGGAGTGTTTGGTTGTATTAAGTTTTTACAGGTGTATAATTAATCTAGTTAGTTAACTTAGTTACTCTGCTGTGGTTGGAACCGCAAGAAGATTATTTTGTGATCGACATCTATTGCAACTTCAGTGTCCAAGAAGCTGGCAGAAAGAACCTGAGTGGTGATATCAATTTTGGTACGCCACAATATGAATGGAAGAGAGAAAAAATAATTTTGCAGAAAATAGCAGTATAAGGATAAAATATAATAGAATCAATTTGTATTTTTTGATATATCCCCCCCTTGCCTTCACTACACGCCTCGATCTGATTGGAACTTGACTGCCCGAGGCACGTATGTTTTTTTTTTAAATTTTGTCCCAACAAGTCATCAATCTATGCCTTAGAGCAGTTGTTCTTGACCTGAGATACGCGCACCACTTGTGATACGCAAGCAGCTTTAAATTATTTCAACAATTAACTTTTGTATCCGCAGCTGTCAAAATGGAGAAAATGTCGCTGGAGCTACCGAGTGATCTGACCAAGTGTAGACAAATGTTGATTAAGATATCCACAATATGAATGGAAGAGAGAAAAAATAATTTTGCAGAAAATAGCAGTATAAGGATAAAATATAATAGAATCAATTTGTATTTTTTGATATATCCCCCCTTTGCCTTCACTACACGCCTCGATCTGATTGGAACTTGACTGCCCGAGGCACGTATGTTTTTTTTTTCGAAATTTTGTCCCAACAAGTCATCAATCTATGCCTTAGAGCAGTTGTTCTTGACCTGGGATACGCGCACCACTAGTGGTACGCAAGCAGCTTTGAATTATTTCAACAATTAACTTTTGTATCCGCAGTTGTTCTCGACCGGAGATACGCGCACCACTAGTGGTACGCAAGCAGCTTTGAATTAATGTTCTCGCCCGTTACTATCCACCTAAAACGAAACGACCTTCAAAAAAAGGACAATTTATAAGTATAGCCTTACAGCGCTAAAGTCATTGTCATGCTTAGCTGAAACCGCACAGGTGAATTTTAGCAGAAATGCCTTGATGTGAAATCACAAATTGTTCACAACCCCGAAACCGACAGCTCGGAAATATTTTTCTCTAACTCGGATCAATCATTCTTGAAAAAAGCTTGTTGTGACGTATTTTTGTGGATAAAAACATAATATCAATTCATTAAACACACACTTGATTGAACCATGATTAGTCTACTTGTAACTTCACGTTTAATTGTATTGATAGGGGCGATGATAATGTATAAAGTACTGTAAGATTGCGACGGTAAAAAAAAGTTTGAGAACCACTTCATTCTATATTGTGAAGGGCATGTATATCTGCATATCAGTTGCCAAAGAACAAGAGAGCTATGCTCAAAAATATGGACACGTAGCGCCACCTAGTGGCAAATTTGGATGACGTCATGGCACACAATAAAACGAACCCCATGCATCTTACCGGGAAATTTGAAATAAAGAAAAGTAATACACTTCTAGCGAAAAGTTTAATATTTCAGCACTGACAATTTTAAAGCAATTGATCCAGTAATCAGAGAGAAATACGATTTTTTTTCTGTGAAAAAGAACAACAACTTGCGCTGATTATTTGGTTTCTGCGAGACTAACTACTTATCTTTCTTCTATGTTTTTGTGCCAGTGGATCCGTATGCATATATTGCAAGGATGCTGTAGCAAGAGTAGAGATAACAATCCTAAGTGATTTAAGAGTTTTGCTGCACACTAACACAAATATATTTCTGTAACGTTTCGTCTGACCAAGGTCAGACTTCTCCAGGCATACATAGTTCAACTATAACACGAAAAGCAGTTACATGCATATTTAAACAATCGGTTTAAAAATATGGGAGTCACGCATGTTAAATAATCAATAAAATCGGTGAATTTCTTGATTAAATAACAGCGGGTGAAAACACATATTTAAATCTATGTCAAGGAATGTCACTTATTTTGGTATCACATTTTCAATTTAAAATGTTTTACGTTTCAAACCTTATTTAAAGTTTATTTGCTCTTCTTATTCTGTAAGCAGATTTATTTGTTTAATTGTTATCGAATATGTTATCGTCTGTTATGCGGATTATGGAACCGAAATGCTTTTTATACTTAGAACCAGTGGTGGTATTCAGCCGATTCGCACCGGTTCTATCGTAAGGTTCTATAGAACCGTCTCGCGGAATTGTATGAGATCAGCGAATCGGTTAGCATCACTGGTTTCTTTGCTAAAACAAATATGACTTTTCGTAACAGAACCGGCTGAAAAATATGACCTTTGTAATAGAACCGGCTGACAAAAAAATTTGAATCCCACCACTGCTTAGAACTTGTTAAACGAGTAAACGGGGTCAAAGCTCGATTGGTTGCAGTTCTGACAACCAGCAGAACGGTAATTGTCGTTTTACGTTTTGGGGATTACCGTAATTCCTATAAAAACATTCCGTCATGTTTTGTTTGAAGAGAATTTTTACCTATAACCTGAATGGGATTTGTAGGCAATTTTCTGGTGAGTTATTGCTTTTAGTCCGTACAGCCATACGGTGTACGTACCGGTACGGTACTACCGTACCGTATCAGATTATACCGGTACCGGTAGTTGCCTTTTACCAGTTTACTGTCTTATCCGGAATTTACATCAGCAATATCAGAATATGCAGGCACGTTACTGCTGTACTGAGATACCCAGGATAATTTTTCAAATCACAGTATACCGTACTGGTATACGATAACTTACCGCTGTACCGTATACCTGTATACCGGTACGGTACCGGTATTCCAGTATTTAGGTACCGGTATCTTATATCTGTATATGCATTCATTAGATATTACTTTATTAGCGATCATCCTGTCATCTGAAGTCTGGAAGTCCTGGCTTACATTTTCTAAACAAAATTTGAAATTAACTTGTTTATGTTTTTGTATGCATTTCAGCTTCTGCAGCTGCTCGGGTGAGTTTTTCTACGACATTTATAAAATCTTTATGGTGTTCTAATTACGGTTCCTCCAAACTTCAGAATTTGGTACCATACTCTACAGTCAACAATGCGATTAAACCATAATTCAGTTTAGTTACTTTTAAACTTTGCTGCATTACAATGTTAGCCCACTGCCTGCTATTTTTGGCTTGACGCTAAGTTACGGTACCTGTAGGCCGTGCATGTTCAAGCTTTTTCCATTAATGATAGGCCTATATTAAAAATGCTTTTTCCAAGACTTTTTTGTGTTTTTATTCTGTATAATGGATTGAAAGTCAGTGTAGTAAAATGAGACGTGTTTTATATTGCTGCTTGACCAAATATATAAAAAAGATAACATACTTTACAGGGATCACAAACTCCAGTTGGTTTCATTGGATTGGGTAATATGGGTGGATCAATGGCAGAAAATCTATTAGCAACTGGACATCGGGTCATTGTGTATGATAAAGTGCAAGATTCTGTGAAACTATTACAAGATAAGGGGGCAGTGGTGAGAGTGTATTTAGGATCATACTAGTATAGATCAGTGTTTTTCAACCTTTTTCGAGCCAAGGCACACTTTTTTCAGTGAGAAAATCCCGCACCACCAGCTGAAAATATGGGGAAAAGACCTAATATTCACAATATAAGTGTTATATTGTTAATATAAGATTTTTAACATTGAAGAAAGATGTTGAATAGGACATCCTGAATAGTAATCAAATAAAAACAAAGACAAAAAAGAAAATCGCCACCTGATGCTGCCACCGTCTGATATAGAACAGTACTGTACTACATGATTACTCTGCCGGGCGCTACACCGCATAGACACACAATTTGGAGAATTTCCCACGGCGCACCCCTGACAATATTTTACGGCACACCGTTGTGCGCGGCACCCCGGTTAAAAAGCACTGGTATAGATAATAGGGCTGGGAATTTTAGTAAGTTCAAACGTTCTGCACTAATTCCCCAAAAATAATTGTTTGCCCATGTTATTTTTAAAGAATTTGCATTTGTTTATTGTCATTAGTTGGTCGTTCTTAAAATTTAAAATGACTGTCAAGCCTATTTGTTACTTGCTGCATTTTCATAGCATAAGCCAATAATTGATATAACTATAGAGCAGACATGGGCAAAGTATGGCCCGCAGGCCAAATCTGCCCATTGGGTGATTCAATATGATCCGCCTGATGCTGCCACAACCAAACTGAAATCAAATTTTGATGTTTCAGCTAAATTAGCTCAAGGAATTTGTTGAGATTACGAATTAAGTTTTGGCACGAAGCTGATTGTTTTCCACCTTTGCTTTGTAACACTGTAAATATTATGTAACTTTCCACGTCACTTACATGAACCACCAGTCTAAGTGGGATCCACCCCTGCTATAGAGCCTTCCTTGGATGACAGTTACGATCTAATCTATCTAAAATAGTTACCTGATTAACTACTCCCTGGCCTAATAGATAGACACATATTGTAGTTTGTATTTAATTTGGAGAATGAGGAACTTGTGGAGAAACAGACCTCTAAACCAAAATTATAATAATTGAAACATGTTCTGCTTAAACAGAAATGTTTTGTTCGCAATATTATGATTGCACATACGGCATAGCGTGCCCCATGGTTGGGCAAATCACGGCCCACCATAGTGTTTCATCCTGCTCACTTGTGCCTGCTGGAATTATGACTATAGTTTTCATGGATATGAATTTTCAGTGAAAATATTTAATAAATACAACGAATCGTTGTCTAAAATAAATACTGTAACTCCCATCATATTATCCGCACCTGAATATAATGTTAAAATGATCCACATATACCCCAAACTCACCCATCCCAATTATGTCATTGTAAAACCTAACGCCTGCGACTAAATCTGCAAAATACATGTTTTTTGGGACCTTGCAGGACTTGTTTCGTGCGGCTGTGAATGCTGCAACTTATTTTTCTCTTCTGCGCATACATTGATTTCAGCCTTTATTTCCAGTTATTCTGTCTATACTCGTGTAACTTGCTAATCTTCCAATGTTATTTAAATGCAAATTGAACCAAATAGGCAGGCGATTGTTATCGACGCTGGTTATTTGTAAACAAACTGTTTTTCATCCATAACTTCATATTGAGTTTTGAACTTCCGGCCTAGTAACCAGGCCTATTATCTGTAAGTGGCCCACTTAGGAAACTACAGTAGTTGCACACCCCTGGTGTAACCTCTCCATACTTGCATTTCTCACTGATTAGTTTTTTATTTTTATTTAATTGGAGTTGATCTGTAAAATTGGAAAGTGGATGTAAAAATGGAAGTGCGATGCTCGATACAATATTAGAATAAGGTTTATTTAATTTTTGTTTGCTTATTATAGGTTGGGAAAAACCCTGCTGAGGTTGCTCAACAGACTGAGAGAATCATTACTATGCTTCCTAGTAGTCCTCATGTTCAAGAAGTATATCTAGGACCAGATGGAATTTTGTCGTGAGTTGATATCAATATTGGACATGAAGTGTACATAATATATGGATCTTTTTGATATATTGTTTGTTTAGGGGGTGTTATTGTTGTTGCGGAAAAATTGCTTTTATATGTTGCTTTTAACTAACAGATCAATCGATTTCAATTTTTCTTCATTTTTTACAAATAGGATAGGATTAACATATTTACCCTGGGGGAGAGGAAAGCCGATATGGGATCAGTTAGCCAGTTATTTGTTTTTCGGAAGCATGGACTCGATGTTACCAGCGGTTACATGAACCACCCTACAGTGACAAGGAGTCCAGTAATCCTCTCGCACATAACTATTTCTGCATGGGCTGCGAACCCACCCAGGGTAAGCAAAAGGGTATTCCTAACGCTTAGCACGATGCGGCACACCGCCTGGCCATATATACTTCAGTTTTTTTTTCACCCAAAGTTTTGTTGTTTTATCTACATGACATACTGGGAACTTCATTTTTTCATTCTTGCCGTCAATAAATTCTGTGTCATTAGTAATGACTAGGTTCTGTTATACCCAACATCACTTTATCAAAACATTCCAACGAATTCCGAAAATTTTAAGCGCTGTATGGTAATATACTCACCATCATGTAACTAGCAGAATTATGCACGGAAATGGAAATAAAAATTGTTCATGATCTTGAACATTATTTATCATTTTAGTGCGGTGAAAGGAGGGGCATTGCTTGTAGATTGTTCCACAATTGATCCAGCAGTTGCGATTGATGTTTCCAAGAAGGCTTCTGATAAAGCTGCCGTTTTTATGGATGCTCCAGTATCTGGAGGTAAGCTATTTCAATTTACATGTCGATATATTTGTATAGTTTATTGTTCATAAACATCTGATTCAAGTGCTTGCTGCTAAAAAACTACATAAATTTTCTTTATAATTATTTCATATCAGACTTTGGCTCTCTAGAAGTGTGTGCGAATTCTGTTTGCCTACTTCACGTCAAGTTGTGTCGCCGAACCTGTTATAGAACTAAAATAAGGAAAATCTGAATAAAATTATGGCCTAATCCTAACCTGGTACACACACTACGGGAGTACCGAAAATTCAACCACTCAGTTTTATTTCTTGATTTAATCTTAAAAGTAAATAGCAACAACAAATTGTTTTTTATAGGTGTTGTTGCAGCTAAAGCAGCATCTCTCACTTTCATGGTAGGTGGACAGGAGGCTGAATTTGATGCCGCCAAGGAAATGCTTTTGCATATGGGGAAAGTATGATATTTTTCGTTTGCGGGATTAAATCAGAAATGCACCTTTATCACAGGAATTTCGATACTCTCGTAGTGTGTGTACCAGGTTAGGGTTAGGCCATAATTTTAATCTGAATTTCCTTATTTTAATTTAGCCGATTGCTAATAGGTTTCAGTCCCTGTACACAATTTGATATAAAGTAGGCGAACAAAATTAGTTTCCTCCATATTGGTACACACACTTCTGAAGTGCCGGAATTCCAATACATAAAACATAACATTCTATCACCAACTAAAAATTGTGTAATACAGTGGTTCCCAACCTTTTTTGGCTCGCGACTCCTTTTGGTGGTTTACACATACCACGCGCCCCCCCCTCCCCCGTTTCACTTTCAATACTAATCAATAAAATAAGCGGCAAGGTGAATATTGCGTTATTTACATTTTCATCAAGCTGCAGTTTTACTCAATGTGACGGCTGGCATTGAAACCGCTTAATTCGTGGTTGAGTTTTGACAAAGCTAATCTCATATCATCCTCGAATTTCATTCGCTTTCGTGCCTAGGTACGTTGTGGCAAACAGGTAGCGGAATTCAGAACCTAGTTCAGTCAGTTGTGGATAGGATTCATACATGGAGAAACAGAACAGTGATCTTTCACAAAATAGGTCACGTGCGACCAGTAATGAGCTGGAAAAATCGTAACAACCGGAACGCACCTAATTCGCCAAAATGTAATATATTTACAACACGACGCGGACAGAATGTTTTGACTGTCCTAAGATAGAGTCGAAGAACTGCAATGGAATATGATTAAATAGATATCTGACATATGTCTGTGCAGAATCACAAAAGTATTTATAGCAATTCAATACAAATGTTATTTTTTAGAAAGGTATAGGATGAATTTCCATGGGGTCAAATGTCGGAGAAATATCTATTACACGTTACTTGTGTACTAATTATTTGCGTGATGTGATGTAAAAAGAATTATAAATCATAATGTAACAAAACATAAATGAGAATATCGGTCGGAGACCGAAGACTTATCGATCGAAAGTTAGGGGATCCTCCATTCATTCACTCTGACTCAGTAGTGACACTGCGTGTCTCATCACTAATTAATTAATAACTCGCTAATCATACGACACAATTCATCCAAAATCAATACTGGCTTCTGGTCCGAGCTATGATGAATGCACATGCAAAATTTGGAGCAGATTCAACCTCGCTTTCGTGAGATATTGTGTGCATCTAACAGACAAATACCTATCGACATACTTACCGATCTTAAGATCGATAAGTAATAATAACTATTTTAACCAGAGAAACTAGACTTTTTGTACCATAATTTTATTTTAACAACAGGAATGCAATAAAAATGTCCAACAACCAGAACGCCGTTCCGGTGCGTTCCGGCTACAGCTCACCAGTGCGTGCGACTGAATCACAACAAAGATCAAAAAATTGATTTTGCACGTCCTCTGGTACAACGGTTACGTGTAGAGCAAAAGACAAGCCTACCCTCCAGTAAACCCCTTGGTATCGGAATCTCAGCGTTTACACAGCATTGCTCTGAAGCCCGCGTGTTTACCGAATCGCGGCGCGAGGATATGCAGATGTTTTCGTGTGACGTCACAATGATTTACATGTCATAAACATCTCGCACCGCTTGCTTGGTTTTTAAGCAAGAAGCGATATTATGGGGTCTCACGAAGCTAGTGGAAATCTCTCGGAGGCATACGAGAGGTCATTCCAGACTTTTTCGCGTTCTATTATAAATATGTAACCTCAAGATTTGTATTATGTTCTACTGTTTTGCAAGACCTTCGCGACCCCCAGGTTGGAAACCACTGATGTAATATGATGTCACCAATGTTTCTTCATTCCTTTCATGATATTTGTCACAAATCATCATTTTATTTCATTAGAGTATTATGCTTCTTTCTGATTACTGCTCCTTTTCCATTACATATAGGAAAGTAATCGAATCATTATTGTATTGCGAAAACACTAACTTTTTGACAAAAATGGTAATTATGAAGCATCTTTAACGACTTCTTTCTGATCAAGGTAGATACACATTCACTGATATGTAAAGACTTTCTTTTTGCAGAACTGAAATCCAGCCTGCTGTCTAGCCGATTTATTTTATATGGTAAGCGAGTGGACATTGGTGAGATCTTTACCCCATAATGCCAACTCACCTCTACCTAACCGTTCAAACCACTCACCATGGGTTCGGATGTGTAAGACCCATAATGTCTGGTCATTTATGTTTACATACTTTTAGAATGTAATTCGATGTGGAATAGTTGGCACAGGTCAAACTGCAAAAATCTGCAACAACATGTTGCTAGCAATATCTATGATTGGAGTATCTGAAGCGTTGAATCTTGGCAGCAGGTAAATGACACATTCATTTTTGTTGTAATTTTTGTCCAGATATGGCCTTCTTTTTATTATGTCTAAGGTCTTTTGTATGCATATTATACAACTGGTAGGCTTCCTGTTTGTGGAACTCAGTTTTACTGTAGCCCTGCGCCTTACACAATCAAAAGTACAATGTTCTATATTAGACCACAGTGTGACTTTGCCCTAACACAGCTGTCGTTATGGTTACTCAGATTGTTGGTGCATGGTTTTTTTCGTTTTTGAAACGCACGACTACTGGGCATACCACGTTGGCATGCCTCAACATATCTATTTTTTTTTTTTTCAAATAACATACAGTTCGACTTTTTGTTATTATTTTCTTGTTAGACTTTCTCATGGGTGCCGCTGCTCTATTCCCAAATTTGGTTTCTAGCTGCTCATTTCACCCTGAAATGCCTCCTAATTATTTATTGCAATTTGTATATCAAGTGTTCTTTCAGTATGATGGGAAAATAAACTACTGATTGATGTTTTTTGCAGTTCTTTTGTTAAAATTGAGCATACTTGTGAGAATAAAAATAAGTCAAATGATAATTTTATTCAGGCTTGGTTTGGATCCAAAGACTTTATCGAGTATTATGAATATTTCTACTGGTCGTTGTTGGTCATCTGATACCTATAACCCGGTGCCAGGAGTCATAGAAGGTGTACCTAGCAGCAATAATTACAATGGAGGTTTTGGAAGTGCACTCATGTGCAAGGTATTATGGTTGTTGGATCAAGCTATGCGTAAATGTGTCTGCGTTTGAGTCATTGGAATCGAAGTCTCCCAATACTGTGGTTTTATAAATGATGGCCAGGTTTTGGCAAAAACTATTGACAATGGTTAGGTACATGGAGTAATTTCTTATACCGGTCAAAAAACCGATGTCATTCTAAAATTTGTACTGCAAAATAGTTCATGATATGTTAATCATTAGAAATTACACTCAAAATTTTACTTTTTACTTGATGCCTGGCTTAGGTTGTTATAGGTATTTACGCATTTTTTCTGGCAGGACCTTGGTCTGGCTCAGACTGCAGCAATCAACACGCAAACGCCAACTCCCCTCGGTTCACAGGCTTTGCAAATGTACAGAACAATGGTGATGAAGGGATATGGATTAAAAGATTTTTCATCAGTTTACAAGTACCTCAGCACGGAAGAAGAATGCGAGACCAAAAACTGAAGCGGTTCATCTTATTTTCTGCTTGCTCTTTTATATAATATTGAAGTGTTTTTTCAAAGTGTACCAATCAAAATTTGCACTTTTATGGTTACCTAGATGATATTGCCTTTTGTATTTGGTTACTTTAAATCATGAATCTAAACAATATTTCGAAGTCTAATGGGTTGTTGGGTTTTTGTAAGCTGGTATCTGGACAAGGTACCAGCTAGTTGGTTAAGAGTTTTGTCAAGGTCAGTGGTGACTAAACCATTGGACACTACACTACTAAACCATTGGCAGATATTTGTATTCATGAGCAGAACAATTTTGATTTATTCCAACTGGGAATAGTCCTTTTCCTAATCCCGATGTCGGAATTTCAATGTTGTATCTATAAATGTCAAGACGGTGCCTATATGGGAATGACGTCCTGTGATCGACAAAAGGAGAATGAATTGTCTTGTGCAGACAGGACCAAGCCTGTGAGATGAGCTCGTGTAACTACTCATTTAGAACAGACGTTTGTGCCCTTATTTTAGTCAAAACACTCCTCTATTTTCAAGTGTTGGCCATGTGACAGCAGTGATTAGCTGCAGAGCTGACTTTAAAACGAGAATATCGGTCGGAGACCGAAGACTTATCGATCGAAATTACTGTTTCGAATCATGACCTATAGTGACGCCGCGTGTCCCATATTACTCGCTAATTATACGACATAATTCATCCAAAATCAATAGACTTTTGGTCCGAGATATGGTGAATGCACATGCTAAATTTGGAGCAGATTCAACCTTGCCTTCTTGAGATATCGCGTTCATCTAACAGACAAATACCTAATAAACTCTCATTCTCAAGTAGGCTATATTCAAAGTGAGTAAACTCGCGATGTTTTTATGCGATTGCGGCCCGCGAGACCTTCTCAAAAGTTTTTGCGACCCAACCTCGCAACCTTGGACCATCCTGACTTATATATATTACTGGCGCACGATACGGGACATCTGACAGTAATAAAAATTTTAGAACCTCAGCTCAATGATTAAAACAATGGAAGGAAGATCTTGAAAAAATGCCTATGTTTAAAAATCGGACAATTGTCACAGAATTGATTCGTTTATAATTTATGTATCCGAAGGCTTGCGAGATCCGGATCTTTTTTACAAAGCCCTCGCTGCTAATGCGATATTTGCAAAAACACCACGTTCTGAAATAATGAATTAGTAATTAACTAGGTGCGGTTCGCGGAGGCGGTGGTGTTTTACTGGTGGGTGTTTTGTACATACTGCAGTGATTTCCCTACACCCCCCTATAGATCGTGAACACCCCCGATTTGTCTTCCACCTTGCCACCGAACACGATTTGTCTTCCTTGCCAACAAAATATTTAAGTTCTGAAGGAATACAACATTATGATCAGTTAACGCGCGTATTTCAAAATTTAATTCATTGTTCAATTCATACAAAAGTCAAACAAACATGTTCAAAAAAATGTGAAATGTGTAACAAAACAAGCCATAAGTAGCCATTCATACGATGCCACATGCTAGATGAGCAAGTAGCTTCATTAGTCACTATCAGTTGCAAATTACTTGCTGAAAGCCGTGCTTGTTATTTATTTCTCGCGAATTCTATCAGCTAAATATTATTATTATTAATTTCATCACATAACAAACTGCCTTGCTAGGTGTATCTAAAATCAAGCTTAGAGCCTATTTTTCTCAGTGCGCTTATACGCGCCCCAAACCCCAGCCGTGTCGCCGCGGACTTTTCCTCGCTCCCCTTTTCGGGCCCTACAATTTTATTCTGCTGTGTATTTTGGCTCGCCGTCAATCAACTTGGGGGACCCCCTCGTGTACATCATTTCTTGCATACATACCAATTTTTCAAGAATACAGGAATGCTGTGACATTCTGGTGAATCAAATAGGCGATCGTCTGCGCACTGAACACCTTGCCGCGTTCTCTTTGATGAACCCCAAAAATTTTTCAAAATTTGCACGTCAATTTCCCATCCATTTGTTGGCTACTGTCTCCAAATTTTACCCCATGATAAACGTGGGTAAATTGGAAAATGAATTGCGATGTATATACTACACCAATCAAACTTTTTTGAACATCACATCAACTTGCGCTAGTAAATAACCTTTGCGGCGTCTGCAAAATTTCTGGACATCATTTTGACGACGCCTATTTCTTCCGCCGACGCAGAGCGAACATTCAGCACGCTGAAGCGTATTAATTAAAACGCATCTCAGAAACACAATGAAGCAAGATAGATTAAATTCCTTGGCTGTTTTATCCATTCACAGAGACGTTATTTCTGGGATGCATGACTTTAATCAGCGCGTTATTGAGCATTTTGCTTCCAAGAAACCGCGGTGTGTTGCATATATGTTCAAGCAGTAGAAGTCTAGCAGCATATATATCTATTAGTGAGCGACGCATGTTTTTATCTTTGCAATATCTTTCCTTTTTTCATAGTAACGTTTTAAACCTTATTTTAGGTTTTGTCTGCTTTCCCGAAGTTTCTGTTAATATGTCATTGTATTTATCTGGGTAAATATTGCCTTTTGAAAGAGGTTTCAAAATAAACTATATATGTCTATATTTATGGTGACCGTACATTTGAACCCATGTACATTTGAACCCATGCGTATATCCACGGGTTCAATCTATATGCGGGTGCTAAAACCCATGGGTTAGGGTTAGTATAGGTTTAACTATCCGTGAAACAAAAAAAATTCCATAGGTGCAATAGCATACAGGCGCAATTGTCATGGGTTCAAATGTACGTGGGTTCAAATGTAATGGAACCTATATTTATTAATCCCTTGACTTGGACCGGTTTTAAAGACACTTTCTCATCGTTAAAAATTGTCGCTTTTGCCGATTGGTTGTTACCGATGGAATGGTTTTTATACTCATAAAATGATGGGAGAACTTACAGCGCTCATCCTGTCCCCGTAGATGGGGGTGACTTGGTCCCGCAGTAGCTTTCCCCGGTTGTCAAAATGACCACGCGCCGCCACTGCTAATAGCAAATAATTTACCACCTCCTAATTTTCGAAATACCCCCCTAAAATGAAAAGCTGGGAAACATACTGGTACATAGGATCCCGAAATACTTATCTGAAGCATTATTTCCTAGAATGTTGCATATTAACCGGACACAAAATGCCACAAAGAAAGGTTCGATAAGATCTAGGTTGTACTACGTTTAAGGTTGCCGTCAGAATGAGTGGGGTTGGTAACGTGATATCCATATACAGCCAAAAATATCCATATAGCGCCAACTAAATATCCATATAGCGCCAACTAAATATCCATATAGCGCCAACTAAATATCCATATACAGCCAACTAATATCCAAATACAGCCATTTTGGTGATATCCATATACAGCCAACTAATATCCAAATACAGCCAATTAGATACACATATGATATCATAAGTGTGTTAGGGTAAGGGTTTTAAAAATAACTCTCAGAAACTCCAAAACGGCTTTTTGACGAAGTTACTTATATATGTGTAAAATATATGTAATAAATTATTGTGATATTAGCATCATTTAGTCTCTATTGTGACAAGTGAGTCTCTACATGTTATTTGTTCGAAGCGTACAATGTCAGCCTCTCGTGGTGCATGAATAGCCTACATACTACAGCTTGCAATCCATAATGCCCCAAGATAGAGCTCCACAACAGTTTATTGTGCTAACATGCGAAATGTGTTGCTGCCAACGACGACATTGAAAATCTCTTATCAGTGAACTATTCTTTGGTTATTTTTATAACGAACTAGTCAAATTAAAGTTTGGTGCAAACTATCATTACAGTACGTTACATATTGATTATTCGAGAAAGCATCGCCAGATGATGTTTATAAGATGAGACCATCCATACTCGTTGACGCATTGAAGTAGTGTGCGTACGCCTACAGAAACTCCACGACGGCTATTGATGAAATATAAAAAATGACTTGCAACCAGCAGAAAGTAGATATAATAATGATATGAACATCATTCCATGATATAAACATCATTCACCGGTGAGCCTTTACATTTTGCCTGTGCAAAATAAGACATAAAGTCGCCAGTGCATAAGAGAAAGAAAAAATTAAAAATAAATGTTAAGCTATCAGTTAGTTAAATAAAAAACGATTCAACTGAAAATGTCATTTATTATATGCAAAGACCAGAAAAATATGGAAATGTCATTGACAAGAGAATGAAACGGTAGTAATGCTGAAAAAGGGTATATATGGAACAATCCTAACCAATAAAAAGCATAGCAATTTAGATGCCGTAAAGCAGCGGTTCTTAATGTGATGAGATGCCTTTTGTAAAAACTCTCCGTGCATGCGACGCAGTAGTGAGAAAATATTTGAAAACGAAATGATAGAAACACTGAAAATCGAGTTTGGTTAGCTTTATTAGACGTGAGGACTTAACGATGTTATGATATATCTCTTAGATAAACCGTTTGTATCGTTTTCAGTACAAGCTGAATATTCGTTATTCAGGAAAATTCACAAAAATTTCAGTTTAATTGAACTTATCTTACAGTGAACTCGGAAAGTAACATTGTGGTTTGATTTTATCAGTAATTATTGATTACAGTTGTGTAATAGTTTATTTAAATACTCATACAGTCAGTAGAGTATGACTTGCGAATTGAATATTTGTGCGACGTAAAATTAAAATGACTTGTCAGTGCGCCGTGTCGCACCATTCGAAAACTCCTGCTGTAAAGAAATAGGACAATAATTTAAAGCATTAAAATGACACAACATTAGTCTACGAAATAAATGACGGCAAGATTTGATAATTACACAATTTAATTGTTAGCTTGTACTTGCAACTTGATTTCGAGAAAGTTATTTTCATTACATGTGAAAATATTAAATGTACAATCATACTGACTTATTAAGAACTAACTTGTCAATTATTGGAAAACACTGCCACTGCTCGGGTAACAGTTTTCGATTCAATTTAACATTCCTTAGAATGAATCTCCCATATTTTTTGAATTCTTTTGCATGTGCTTGGCTGGCTATTGTTACCGGCACCATGACATGGGCCATTTCATGCATAATCGTGTGGAAGATTACTGAAATATCAAGCTTATCCGGCTCCAAAATTAAAATTATGAATTTGTCCAGGTCGATTTTATATGTAACGCCTGTCGAAATTTTGGAGTTGTTGCCACTTAATTTGCTATATGTTGGCTATAGCGAAATACCCACATTCATTTGCTCGCTGCTGTTGAACAGCCATCACTTCAATTGTGATGCTGTCACTATTGGTCCCACAGAGCTGACAAACTGCTGTTTGCACGATTTCAGGATAATTACTCGATAAAAGACTGTCATACACTGATGCATGATTTTTTTCAGAAAACTGGTCCGAAATAGTTATCCAGTGATTTTTTCTGATGTTTATTATTTGAACAAAGGTATTACAGGATTTTATCGGGAATCCTTCCACTGTCGATATTATTACATCCTTCAGTCCTGATAAATGACGATATTTTATTTTCATTAACGCCATTGCTGCATTTATAATTCTATCATTTAAAAATAATTTATCCCGTATAATTTGTTGGTCAATCAAATCCAAATGAAGACATTTCAACCAATGATTGCTAAGAAATGGATTTATTTCCAACAGAGAATCCTCTGGGGGTTTATCGAATTTTGTGCGGTCAAATCCGTTATCAATGAAATCTAATAAATGTTTTCCAATTGGTCTTTCTATTTGTTTAGTTTCACCCAAAAGACTATCTTCGTCTGTTGAGTACATTTTTGTGTTGTTTTCAAGTTCGTCATTTTCTTGCTCGGTTGTAGACACATCGAATACACTGTTTGTCTTCTCCCGTGAAAGTTGTTTTCCTACTGCAACGTTCAAATATACTTCGTTAAGTAGGTCATTTTTATTTTGTTTCAACGAAAAATCCTCCGTTGTGTTATCCATAGATTGTGTCAAATTTGCTTTATTCAGTCTACATACAGTTTGTAATATTTTTTCCTCTTTGGCTTCAGTCGAAATTTTTTTTCCGTCACTTTGCAATTCTTGTTCAATTCCAGCCTGAGTTGATGTAATGTAATCACTTCTAAATGGGCATGTGTCATCTTTTTTTATTTTCGTTTTCGTTTTACTGCTTTCATATGTATCGACAGTCTGGAGATACCATCTACCCAGACTATCCACATGCAAATCACTATTGCTGTGTTTTTTCAAGCTGTTGGCCAATTTCATATTTATCAAATGATTATGGTTATCAATTATCGAACGGAACAGATAAATATGATTCACCGGCTCCATTTGATTTAAAAATCTATTATCCTTATTAAATATTGCACTTAATTGTTCCACAACTTGTGTATTAAGGAAACCATTCAGTTCCGGGACGAAGGTTATTCTACGTAGTATTTCTTTTTTCTTGGTTACATTTTTTTCGTGCAGTCTGTCATATAAACACATATAAAGAGATTTACCACTAACAGGGTGCACTCCTTCGGTATATTGCTCTTTTTGTGCACTTGTTTCAAAAATCCAAGGCATTGAGATGGAAAGACGTTTATCTTCGGCAGCTTTTATGTTTTCTTGAGTTGGCTCACATAGCATTCCATCGTGTGGTGAAAACATAGATATCTTTCGTTTGTTACCATGCGCAACGACCATATTTGCCATATCAATTATGACAATATTCGGTTGATATTTGAATGACAAAAGTATATCAACAAAGTCGCGAGGACTTTCGGCGCGCATAACAAACTTAAGAGCATAAACAACTCCATGAGCGCAAGTACAAGAAACCCAGCCACCAGAACAGCCCCAAAGCTTGGAAAAAGCTTTTTTAAATTCTTCATGGTCTTTTGCAATTCGATCTCGTATGGCTAAAATTATGTCCAGCTTACCGCCCTTTGGGACATTTCCAAGTAAATGTTTACCAAATTTGAATACGTCTTTTGACGAGTAGCTATGTAATATTTCTAAAAGTCTTTCTTCCGTTATATCCCTACAATCGCTCTCCATTAAACCATTTTTTTTTGAAACCTTCCGATGTTCCGTATTCAATATTTCCACCCCTGTTCTAGTGTATTTTCCGATAAATGGCGCCCATTCAAGCAAATTAGGAGTTATTTGAATACTTGGTATATTCCTCGGATAAAATCCTCGAATAAGCATATTCTTCTCCACATTTTCCCAGAAACTTTGACAATTGACAGTGTCGGCCTTGTCTTCGTCGTATTGATCGGGCACAGATAACGACGTGGCTGGACATTTAAAATTTACTTTTTTGTTAAGATCCATGACTACTAACGTGGGATGGTACCCACAAATACCACAGTGAAACAAATTCAATTGGTCACTATTCAGGCTATCAAAATGCAAAAAAGCATTCACAATTTTTTGAGAATTTAATTCAGTCCCGATTCGCGAAGAAAGAGCGTTAACAAAACTCCCAATGGGCAAATGCTGCATGAGAAACTCTTTGTGATAAAATAGCAAATTTCAAGTGACATAAAGAAAATATCATTGAAATTATGCAATCCGTCAGTAAATTCTTGGTAGCGATAACACACTTTGCATTTTGGGCATTCTTTGTAATAAGTTGATATATCACCAAGAAGTTCAGTCATTGTTAATATTTTTGCATGTTTTGAGATCAAAATCGGTTTTTGTAAATCTGAATCACAATAAAAGCATTTGACTTCGACTGGAATATACGTCGTGGGATATATCGTTTTGGATGCACGATTGTTGGCCGAATGTGGTATACGTTTTAGTTCTTTTAAATACTGGCACATTTTTTCTAGAATTTGTGTATCGATGGGTGGATAATACTTTAGAGAAATGTTTTGGTGCTGAACATTGACTGTTTCATCATTATCTTCGATTCTAGGTTCTCTAAAACCTTCAAATAAGTTATTTTGAACTAAATACCACATACAAACACATTTGTGTACGCACGAATGCTTTCTTTTGCAGCATCTACAATCCAGGTTACCTTCTTGAATATCGGCTGTGAGGATAATTCTACCAAATTTGGAATAATAGTGATATTCACCATTGTATAACGAAAACATGATAAATCTTGTTGATTCGTGTATTGCGTAAAGCAATTTTGATTTGTTATTTAATGCCATCTTTTTGAGATCTAGACATTGTTCTATTTTCGTAGGCTTGATAATTTTGTATTTGCCGTCAATCGATAGTTCGGATAAATAAGTGTCATTTAGTGTCTCTGATTCTGGATACTTTGTATCAACACCCACAAGCCTCAAATGTCTGCACTCTGCACCAGTCATGCCACTGCGCCATGCCATATACATGTAATCTCGGCAGGCAGAGTCTTCACAGTCAACACCAAAATCGAGCGAAATTTTCGATAAATTTTTCTTTATGTGTATGGGATAAAAGACTCCTCCTTTGGAGCTTCTTCGAACCATATACAAACCCCTTATTTTGTCGACGCAATACACGACATTTTCTATTTCTTTGTTATGAATATTTCGATAATGACGAGGCAAACTTCTGGAGCACATTTCCTTCCTGCACACTGGGCAAGTGATCATTTTTTCAAGAACACGCCTTGATTTTTTCTCTGGTGCATAATCGCAAGCATCATTAAACTCTGTATTTGATTTGATATTCATTTCAATGGATCCATTATCACAGGCGACGTTTGTTTTATGATTCATCTCAATGGAATCATTATTACCTAAGGGGGGGGGGGTCATCTGGTGTATACTCGCAGACGTCGTTCAGCTCTATTTTTGGTTTAGTATTCATTCTAACGCCACCAGTTTTATTTACCGTGTGATTTTCCATGTGAACATGTAGCTGTTTTTCCCTTATTATTGTTCTGTTACATATCAGACAATGATAATGAGGTCTAAAATACCCCGAATGTCCGTGATTTAGTTTGCATTTCAGACATTTATAATGCTGATATATGACGGATTGTCTCGCATGAACTTCCTCAAAGTGTCTTTTGCAATGCGCATGGCCAGCACTTGCAGCTTTGCATAACAAACAGTGTAGATGATGATTGGGTTTCCTACTACAATCAGGTTCTTCACACAGTCGGAATCGAATCGCGTAAGTGTCATCCTCTTTTGAATCTTTATCTGGACCATTTGCAAAAAACCAAGGAGTTGTTCTGAATGATGAAAATAATTGTTGTAAATAATTAGATCATGGTCGCGTATAATCTTGTTTTTTAGAAGCAGTGATATTAGCATATTTGTTTGAATTTAGGTTGAGATTAAATCAAATCTACATTGTTCAGTTAGAAGAATGAATATATATATATATATATATAAATATATATTTATATATATATACATATATATGAATATTTCGATTCGGAATATTTTAGACTTTGACGATATAAATTACACCAACAAGTTGAATTTTGAATAATTACACACGTCAGCATATCACGGAAGCAAAGTATACCAAATAACCTTTTAGCCTAGCTAGTTTTTGACATCTTCAATCTTCAACCCGGATTCATATTCAAACAACCTTAAAATAGGAATATATTAGTTCACATGTAGGAAGCGATGAACCGCGGCGCGAAATCTATTATCTTGATTAAGAAGACTGACATACATACTTGTTGAACGAGTAAGATTCGATATCAATTTTTTTTGAGGTAAGGCAACTTCTCTAACTTTGTTGGTTTTTGGAGATAAACGACTGAATTCAAACCTATACTTTTGTGAGAATTTATTTTCCAAAAAATTCATGTATTAGTACCTGAAAAGTTTGGTTTTAAAATTGAAATGCTTTAAATAGGTAATTTAAAGTTCACCATTTATCAAACTCGATCTGGCATTCTCAATGTTGAAAATAACCACAATATTTATCGATAAGATTTCCAAACGAGAATATTGGTCGGAGACCAAAGACTTATCAATCGAAGATCGCTAATTAATTAATAACTCGCTAATTATTCGACATAATTCATCCAAAATTAATAGGCTTCTGGTCCGAGATATGGTGAATGCACATGCAAATTGGAGCAGATTCAACCTCGCCTTCGTGAGATATCGCGTTCATCTAACAGACAAACAAACAGACAAATACCTTAAGATTATAAGTAATAAGAAATATGTATTGGATCGCAGTTTACTATTGCCAATAGGCCTACTTAACAAACTTTTCCGAAGTGTGCATCCCAGAAATTATGTCATTATTCAAACAAAATAATATTGCCACATAAATTTGAAGATTCCTATTGGGATTAGTATTTGCAACTAGAATATCGGTCGGAGACTGAAGAGCGATAATTAATTAATTAATAACCTGCTAATTATTGGACATAATTAACCCAAAATCAATAGGCTTCTGGTACGAGATATGATGCATGCACATGCAAATACCTATCAACATACTTACCGATCTTAGGATCGATATGTAATGACTGTTAAAAACCAGGCATGATTGTGCAATTATTGTCGTACCAGTTATCTCGCTTGTTAAAAATGCCTATGTCATCCAGGGTACTCGGTACTCTCGAAGTATGCGAACCAAGATGGCGGACACCGGAACGTAGCATGTGTACCAAGTTAGGGTTTAGGCAATAATTTTATTTCAATTTCCTCTCATTTTAGTTCTATTGCGATTTCGGGGAATAACCAATTGACTCCCGTAGTATTTGTCTCTGAAATTATGGCATAACCCCTAACCTGGAACATATACTACGTTCCGGTGTCCGCCATCTTGGCTCAGTACTTCGGGAGTACACCTATAATTTTTGTAGGAAAAAGCATTGAACTTTTTAGTAGGTTGATAGTATTTCTAGATAACATTTTAATGTTGAACCTTTTTAATATTGAAATAGAATTGTTATTGACTTCAAAAACTATAGTTGGCGGGCTCTTAGGGCCTTTGATTCCTAATGAGTATAATCTGGACTGTACTTGTTTCGAGTGAGATCCCTATAAGACTTAGCCTACACAATATAAATACGCATGAATACCTTGGTGGTTTTTAGTGTTGTAATAATTCCTAACGGTGTAATACTAATTTGAATTTATCTGTGTATTCTATTAGATGTGTTTGTTTTTCTTTCATTCCTTTTGAAGTAAGTAACTTGACATATGGGCCACAAGCATAGTTTAACTGACCGAGGAACTACAATTGTCACTAACGCTGCTGCAGATTATGGTATGAGCATCTTAAGCATAATACTCACTTCAATTCAGAATAAAGTAGAACAGTACACGATGAAGTCCAATCTTCGTATTTGTTATATCCGAGGAATCAGTAACATTCAATCGATATGCTGTTTTCAAAGTAATGATTCTTAAGTCCACACTCATGTTCCTAGCCTGCTGTTTCCTCGAATCCTATCTATGTCGCCTATTCACATTAATTTATTGCGTCATAGATGTATTCAAATACACGATTTACAGTTTCGACTACATTAAGCCTTTGAATATTCTAGTATTAAGATTTTATTCTTTCATTGTTGGACACTGTCCAATCATAGATTGGACATCATAGAATGGGGCCTATTATATTTTTTTTTTCAGGAACTACGCGCACCAGCAGTTTTAGGTTTCATATATTCCACCAAACGTTGATTGATTATTTTATAGACAGATTATTGCCAATAGCCGAAAAATAGCTTTTTCAAATACGATTTTCAGTCATCACATTTCTTGTATTAGTAACGATCAGCTGTTGTGGGGTATTATGACATCATTGATTGGCGCCTATTGGATATTTCTGAGTCATGGTTTTGAAGAACTGAGTTGGGGCCTATTGGATATTTCTGAAGAACTGAGTTGGCGCCTATTGGATATTTCTGAAGAACTGAGTTGGCGCCTATTGGATATTTCTGAAAAACTGAGTTGGGGCCTATTGAATATTTCTGAAAAACTGAGTTGGGGCCTATTGGATATTTCTGAGTCATGGTTTTGAAGAACTGAGTTGGGGCCTATTGGATATTTCTGAAGAGCTGAGTTGGGGCCTATTGGATATTCCTGAAATACTACTCACCATCAGTTTTATGTCTGGTGTTTAATGATGCTCATATTATGATATTTTATTCCTTATATTTTACGCTTTTTACAAGTCATTTCTCATATTTCAATCGGAAGTTATTTTCGAGTTTTTGTACGCGTAACGGTAGTAGTAGTAGTATTTTATTTCGTCAACAATGTCAAAAAAGTTTACATACAACATTTAAAAATTATTTTCAAGGCTTTGAGACGAGGCTGTGACGATGCGACCGTTAGGTCATCGAGTCAGTCACAGCCTTTAAAAAAATATAAACTTACCATTTTGTTAACGAAATTGAGCTAAAGTAACACGCCCTGAAAATAAATTAACACACAAGAGAGAAAAAATGGAAACACAAAAAAATCAATTGAATAAGTTAAAACCATACTATGTCGGATGGCATATGCACAGTATATGAGATTTTCAGTCATCACATTTCTTTTAGGCCTATTATTAACGATCAGATGTTGTGGGGTATTATGACATCATAGATTGGCGCCTATTGGATATTTCTGAGTCATGGTTTTGAAGAACTGAGTTGGGGATCTATTGGATATTTCTGAAGAACTGAGTTGGCGCCTATTGGATATTTCTGAAGAACTGAGTTGGCGCCTATTGGATATTTCTGAAAAACTGAGTTGGGGCCTATTGGATATTTCTGAAAAACTGAGTTGGGGCCTATTGGATATTTCTGAAATACTACTCACCATCAGTTTTATGTCTGGTGTTTAATGATGCTCATATTATGATATTTTATTCCTTATATTTTACGCTTTTTACAAGTCATTTCTCATATTTCAATCGGAAGTTATTTTCGAGTTTTTGTACGCGTAACGGTAGTAGTAGTAGTAGTATTTTATTTCGATAACAATGTCAAAAAAGTTTACATACAACATTTAAAAATTATTTTCAAGGCTTTGAGACGAGGCTGTGACGATGCGACCGTTAGGTCATCGAGTCAGTCACAGCCTTTAAAAAAATATAAACTTACCATTTTGTTAACGAAATTGAGCTAAAGTAACACGCCCTGAAAATAAATTAACACACAAGAGAGAAAAAAAGGAAACACAAAAAAAAATCAATTGAATAGGTTAAAACCATACTATGTCGGATGGCATATGCACAGTATATGAGATTTTCAGTCATCACATTTCTTGTAGGCCTATTATTAACGATCAGATGTTGTGGGGTATTATGACATCATAGATTGGCGCCTATTGGATATTTCTGAGTCATGGTTTTGAAGAACTGAGTTGGGGCCTGTTGGATATTTCTGAAGAACTGAGTTGGCGCCTATTGGATATTTCTGAAAAACTGAGTTGGGGCCTATTGGATATTTCTGAAGAACTGAGTTGGCGCCTATTGGATATTTCTGAAAAACTGAGTTGGGGCCTATTGGATATTTCTGAAGAACTGGGTTGGGGCCTATTGGATATTTCTGAAAAACTGAGTTGGGGCCTATTGGATATTTCTGAAATACTACTCACCATCAGTTTTATGTCTGGTGTTTAATGATGCTCATATTATGATATTTTATTCCTTATATTTTACGCTTTTTACAAGTCATTTCTCATATTTCAATCGGAAGTTATTTTCGAGTTTTTGTACGCGTAACGGTAGTAGTAGTAGTAGTAGTATTTTATTTCGATAACAATGTCAAAAAAGTTTACATACAACATTTAAAAATTATTTTCAAGGCTTTGAGACGAGGCTGTGACGATGCGACCGTTAGGTCATCGAGTCAGTCACAGCCTTTAAAAAAATATAAACTTACCATTTTGTTAACGAAATTGAGCTAAAGTAACACGCCCTGAAAATAAATTAACACACAAGAGAGAAAAAAGGAAACACAAAAAAAATCAATTGAATAAGTTAAAACCATACTATGTCGGATGGCATATGCACAGTATATGAGATTTTCAGTCATCACATTTCTTGTAGGCCTATTATTAACGATCAGATGTTGTGGGGTATTATGACATCATAGATTGGCGCCTATTGGATATTTCTGAGTCATGGTTTTGAAGAACTGAGTTGGGGCCTGTTGGATATTTCTGAAGAACTGAGTTGGCGCCTATTGGATATTTCTGAAAAACTGAGTTGGGGCCTATTGGATATTTCTGAAGAACTGAGTTGGCGCCTATTGGATATTTCTGAAAAACTGAGTTGGGGCCTATTGGATATTTCTGAAGAACTGGGTTGGGGCCTATTGGATATTTCTGAAAAACTGAGTTGGGGCCTATTGGATATTTCTGAAAAACTGAGTCGGGGCCTATTGGATATTTCTGAAGAGCTGAGTTGGGGCCTATTGGATATTTCTGAAATACTACTCACCATCAGTGTTATGTCTGGTGTTTAATGATGCTCATATTATGATATTTTATTCCTTATATTTTACGCTTTTTACAAGTCATTTCTCATATTTCAATCGGAAGTTATTTTCGAGTTTCTGTACGCGTAACGGTAGTATAGTATTTTATTTCGTCAACAATGTCAAAAAAGTTTACATACAACATTTAAAAATTATTTTCAAGGCTTTGAGACGAGGCTGTGACGATGCGACCGTTAGGTCATCGAGTCAGTCACAGCCTTTAAAAAAATATAAACTTACCATTTTGTTAACGAAATTGAGCTGAAGTAACACGCCCTGAAAATAAATTAACACACAAGAGAGAAAAAAAGGAAACAAAAAAAAATCAGTTGAATAAGTTAAAACCATACTATGTCGGATGGCATATGCACAGTATAACTCATGCCTAGTCCCAACTCTAAAAGGGAATAATGGTCTTTTACAGTTAATTTTCTATAGTAGAGTCGTATATTTCACGACAAAAAGGACTCCAGATTCGCTGATAATGCCAATTCTATATATATCATCGACTTGAAAATCGTCCTTTACACATTTTATTAGAGGAAAGTGTTTTAAGCATATATAGCTGAATAGAACTTTTAGCATACGGTATTAAAAAGTCGCTTGGGGGATTTTTAAATGTGAAAAAAATGTAAAATTAATGGTAATTTTCACACGCAACGTCGCGCATTAGAATGTTTACGTCTTTCTACGTGCATTTCCGTCGAAAAAATAACATTTTTTGCATTGAGGGGGCCTTTGAAGTGATAATTAGAGGTGTGACATCATCAAAATTGCCAATTGAAGCCTTGAACTTGAAAATTCTGTAAATACAATCATGAATTTTGGAGTAACCATTCTTGCTATAATAGTGGTTTTGGTCTTCTGTTGGAAAATAACACAAGAAAACGTTGAAATAAAAGTCAAATAATTAGGAATAATTATTAACCATCTACTAGAAACCATTCTTGCTATAATAGTGGTTTTGGTCTTCTGTTGGAAAATAACACAAAAAAAAACGTTGAAATAAAAATTAATTAATTGGGAATAATTATTAACCCTCTACTAGACACAAAATCTCGCAAGTTCAAGGTTGTTCAATAGAAATTTTGTCGCATAGAAAAAATATTATTAGAGGAAAGTGTTTTAAACATATATAGCTGAATAGAACTTTAGCACATGGTATTAGTGGTAGTAGTCCCATCATACTAAATACAATGACGATTCGTCTTAACTTAAATAAACTGCAAGGTGTGCAATGATAGTTTCCGCCAAACGTTAATTTGATTAATTTCTATGCAGTTTATTGCCAGTAACCAAAGAATAGTTCACCGAAAAAAGTATTTCCGCGAGCACAATTATCACGCTATTCAAGATGTGGGGTATTATGACATCATATTTTGGAACCTTTGGATATTTCTCAAGTACTACGCACGTTGGCAGTATTTTATTTTCCACCAAGCGGTAATTCGATTAGTTGTTTGACAGTTTATCGCCATTAGCCAAGGAATAGTTCACTGAAAAGAGATTTTCAGCCAGCATATTTCTTGTGCAATGATCGACCACCTGTTTTGGGGTATATATTATGATATTAACGCTGGTGGTTTCGGCGGTGTGGCTCATCGTATTAAGCGTTAGGAATACGCTCGCCACCGCACCTCAGATTACTCTGCGTGGGTTCGTAGTTTCGAATCCCATGCGGGGATGGTTATGTGCGAAAGGATTGCTGAACTCGTTGCTGTCATAGGGTGGTTCAAGTAGCCACTTGTCGGTTATGGCTTCCCCCCCCCCCCCCACCATGAAGTAGATGCTTCCGAAAACAACAATCGGCTTTCCTCTCTCCCGACATAAATATGTAAATCATATCCTATCTTGATGACTTTATTTATTTATTGATTTGGCTGTATTTGGATATTAGTTGGCTGTATATGGATATCACCAAAATGGCTGTATTTGGATAATAGTTGGCTGTATATGGATATTTAGTTGGCGCTATATGGATATTCAGTTGGCGCTATAGGGATATTCAGTTGGCGCTATATGGATATTCTTGGCAGTATATGTATGGCACGTTACCAACCCTATCGGTCAGAATTACCAAAAAGGGGAGGGGGCAGTGTTCCCTCTCAGGTGGGCGCGCACACAGCTTTCAGAGGCTGCGCACACGCACAGATTTACGCGCACAGACGTATTTCGATGTAATGCAACAATGTGCTCGGTTGGCAGGTTGAGAAAGTTTGTTGTTGGCCCACTTATTACCCGGTTAGAACGACAAAATTTCTTCATTGGTTTTTGCACAAATATTAGTCATTTCCAAAAAAGTGCGCACACACCAAAATTTCTGCGCACACATACTACAAAAAATTAGAGGGAACATTGGGAGGGAGAATGTAAATCGGAAATTAGCGCTCCCGAAGTATGTTCACCAAGATGGCGCACAACCTGATGACCCTAACTGGTACATCTACTATGTTCGAGTTGTGCACCATACTCGGGAGCACCCGGAAATTTTCATAAAACCGTCGCCGAAATTAGGCAGGCCACTTGTGAAACAGCTCACTTTAACGACGGATAATGTTTTTCTGTCTTGTTGTCTGGTAAGGATATTGCTTTTGTGCATAGTATTCAATTGGCGACTAATCCGAGTCTATTTATAATGTCTTGTTGTATTAATTTAATTGTGTGTTTATTGTAACCTGCGGTTGCGTTGACAATATAGAACATAACAACGAAATATCACGACAATCCACGGCCATAAAAGTGTTTTGTTTCAAACTGGCTGATTATATTTAGTTTGAATTCGTATTTTTGCGATGTTACGAATTATACAAATTTGATGTGTTATTCAACACCGATAATGCTACCAGTACCACCCAAGATCATTTTCAAGATATCAATGTTAGAAAAATCCCTATATCTGCGATAAAATATCAAAGACTACAACTTTGAGGTATTTCAACGGAAATTCGGATCTCGAACACCCGAACCCAGTGGAGCTCGCGGTCGAGTGAAATGACGCCATCAGAAACCAAACTCAACCGATACAGGTCAACAAGACTGCCAGACAAAAATCTTGGTATGCAGTTGAGAGTTTCCAAATCTCCAGTAGGGCCTAATATAAAGCACTTAATGAAGCAAAAAAGTTTCCGAAAATCTCACTGAGCAAAAAATGCATTGAATGTTTTATTTTATGCTGGAATATACCATTAAATAACTTCAGATGTACGAATGCAGTTGTTCGTGTTTGTTAATGAAATTTAATAAGTATCAAGGGGTGAATAAATTGTTGCGTTGCCCGGCCCGCTCACTCAGCGGTGACTTAAAAAGTGGCTCGCTAAAGCAAACGGGTTCGTCACCCCTGGTCTAGGTCATTAAGATATCTGATGCCACACACCTTTCAAAGGAGATTGCCCTCAGCTATGAAATCGAAACAGACTCCCTGAAGTGTGTGTACCAATATGGCGGTAACTAATTTTGTTTGCGTACTTCACATCAAGTTGTGTAAATTGTATAGGGACTGAAACCTGTGGGTATATTCACTTGGCTAACGCAGACAGCCCCGAACTCGTAATAGAACTGAAATAAGGAAAATCGGAATAAAATTATGGCCTGGCCTTAGCTGGCACCTAAATCGATACATCCACTCTGGCTCTACAGTGGTGCAAAGTACGCGTTAGGAATGCGCTTGCCATCGCACCTTTTGATTACCCGCATGGGTCGCAGGTCTAACCAATCCCAAAATAATCACGCGCGAGAGGGATTGATCGACTCCTTGTGGTGTGGTACACGTAATCAACGGTCTCTGCATCTGAAACAAATAACTGTCCTACTAATAATCCCATACCTGACGTGGATTGATAATGTGGCGAGAGGCTGGGTGTGGTACACCATATGATACAGCCCTCTTGTCAAATTTTCTTTCGCCTGCGATACCAGTATGAAAAACGTGTACACTATTATTTGCAAGTATCATGGGTGGCGGTGGGTAGCCATCACCTGTCTCGCTCATGCCCTGTTTTTATATCAAGTGTTGTATTAAGCCACGCTTATTAATCTCGCATTTCCCCACAACAGCACTTATGGCAGAAGTCCTGCAATACCATGAACTGAAAGCATCACTGCCCAATCTTGAAATTTGCAGACTGACCAACTGGTTAAACTAATTTTATTCCATTTGTCCGAATATCACAAGAAATTACAACAGCAGCATAATATTAGAAATAATAACAACCACAGGGATTTGTGTGGTGTGGCATTCCCATTTTGCATAGTTGAGCCTTCAAAACTCTTTGCCATTTTGGGATTAACTATGCTCGTGTTGAACATAAACCTCGAACAGAATAAAATTCAGACCCGATGGTTCAACCTACCATTGCTAGAGCTTATGTCACAATTGTCAAAAGTCTCTAAATTTGATGATATGCAGAGTATTTGAGACATCTAAAGGCATGTAATTACATATAAACTATTCCAGTAAAGTGTAGAGAAAACATATGCTTTCAGGAGAAAAGGGAAATTGTCGAGTTGAAGATGTATTCAACATGATTGGGAATGCCAGATAACAGTCTCGTATGTATGTAGTCTGCAAAGCCATATTTGTAACTGAACAAAAAACAATGAATATGCCACTTAATTTGGAATTTTCACATAAGAGCTGTACATAAAATTGTCTATATCAGAATTATGCGATTAACGGGACTATGTAAATGTTCAACGGTATAATGAACAACATTTATTCATCCTCAGACTTGTCTTCCTCGTACTCTCCTCCTTTAATTTTTTTCACTCTCACTCCATCCAAAATCACGGGTCGTGATGTACCCAAGCACTTCAAGCTTGATAAACCATTCAAACTGACATCATTTTTAGTATTGAAACTCGTACAATGACAACCATTGATCTGAGCTTTTTCTACAGCAGACTTCATGTGGTCTAAAGAGCTTGCAGACAGCATCTTGTATCTGATTTTGGCAGCATCCGGAGACCAATGTATTAAAAGGGGGATTGGATTTTCTTTTTTACCTTCGGCTGCAATTGAAGAATAGTAAAGCAGGTAACAGCATTCATCATCTTTGAAATATGGGCCTTTGAAAAACTCAAGTCCATTTGTCTCTATATTTTCTTGGAAGCTTCCTTCAACCGGTTCAATGCTGTTCTGTTTTATGTTCTTTTCATGAGGAACAATTTTAAACACACAACCAGGCATTTTCCCCTTTTTTCGCAGATTCATTATTTTGTCAAATATGTCTTTCGTCGCTTGGGACACTTCTATACCGGAAAAAGCCATAATTAACTTCTGTCATAAATATACTGAAAACAAACTACAAAACCTATTGAATAATATTGGTAATAATTTGAGAAAAGTGAATGGAAAACGAGAATTACTTTGCTAAATACCAGGATATGAACTGGGATTCCAGGGGGGTGTATATGTGGGTACGAATCCTGTGGGAAGAATTATAGGCTAGATTGCTGGGCTCCTTGATGTCGTGGGTGGTTCACGTAACCGCTGGTCGATTACAGCCCAGACTGGGTTCTGTGGCAGGTGCTCCCCGAGAATGCATGCGATTCTGCACACCAAAAAAATTTGCGATTGCCCACCAGTAACCATTATATTTGACAGTATGAAGGGTGGCGGAATGGAAGAGCCGCCAATAAACAGTGCTAACAGGTTTTATAATTAATTACAAACTGGCTGATAATAGACAACACACATCTTTCGGCTTGCAAGAACACGCCAAAACCCATGACTAAGAACTAACTAACTGAAACTCTTAAGTCAGGCCTGCACAACTCAAATTACCACGAGGGTCGCACGCATGAATCTGAAGGCTCGGCGGGCCGCAAATTTGCCACATAAATATTTCACAAGATGAACTACAAATCAAAATAAATATTGTGAAACAGTTAAATTTAATGAAACACTTTCATTACTGCGGAGCTTAAAAATATGAAGAATCTTATTTGCTTGAGTAAAAACAAGGTACAGTATTTTTGCATATGAGATGGCAAATATGTATTTAGTGGTTCATCTACTTTAAAAACCCACCCTTCATTTTCATTATTTATTTTTTTATTAGAATTAGGTATTGCGTGTTGCAGTATAAACTGATTGCAGAAAAATATTTTACCCAGGTTTAGTTTTGTAAAATCGTCCCAAATATTTGTATGACAATTTATTTAGACATATCTACCATTATTGAATATTTCCATTGTAGGCTAGACAAACAATCCATTTAGTAGCAATAGATTTCCTCTGTTGTACTTTTTTGACTGTTAAATTACATTTTTATACAAAATCTGCTCCAATTTATTTGAAATTTTACAGTAAATAGCAATATCTTTTGTGCGAGAATTTCTGCCCCATTCATAAATGAAGGAATTGTTTTTTAAGTTCTAAATTTGAACCAAAAGAGAAACTTCAGTTTCATAAACTGCTAGAAAAAGTAATGGGGTTATTAATAGGTTGCTAATATGCACTAATGGGTGTGAGATTGTATACCGATAAGCGTGATTCAGTTTGAATACTGAGATATCTAAATCAGGGTTTCCCAAACTGGGGGGGCGAGTGGTCGAGAGACGAATTTTAGGGGTCGCGAAGGGCACACCAGTTCACACAAAGTTCGATATTTCAATGCAAAACATAAATCTCATGATTTCGAATATCATCGGGGTAGCGGCGCACTTGCATAACAATGCCGGCTTTCATTGTTAGACCAGAGAAGTGGCGTGTTTCCAAATCGAGCCGTATGTTGTGCAGGCCTGCTCTAAGTGTTTCATTACCTTCCTGTTTGCACAGATTAATTGACCTTTGACTTATGCAAAAATCTGTATTTATGATTGCTTGCACGATTTCTCATGGAAAGAGTCCATAAAATCCAGACTGGGTACAGTCAATGCATCTGAAACAAAAAACTGACCAACTAATGCTGTAATCCCATACCCGGCATTGACTGGTAACCGATCGATGCCATGGTACGCCATGTGATTAGGCCACCTTATCGCTTTCCTCTCCCCAGGGGTAAATCCTATCATATTAGAAACACTTCCAAACAAAATTTTACATCAAAATACTACCTTAATGGAAATCTGTCTCAATTTTGCTGCTAGAAAAATATTTCTGCAATCATTCAGCCATTTCTATTTTAGGGGCGGATAGTGTACAGCAAAAAATTACAATTTTTTTTGTCTATTTTAATCATGCAAAATATTTTTAACGAATCACGCATTTTGCCATTGTTGATAAACATGTTTCAGCACTAGAGCCTATGTAAACCCAATCTGGATTTCATAAGTGCACGCCCAAGGGCGTCAGCGCTCCCTGAAATTGCACACGAGCAAAATCTTATTTGCAAGCCGGAAACTTTGTGATTCTCACTATTATATCTGACAGTCTTAAACAAGGTGGAATAAAATAACTGTTTACAAACAGTGCTGGCAAGTTCTAACAGCTCGAACTGACTGATTACAGCGAACTCTGCACCTTTCGGATTAGCACACCAAAACCCATGCGATAAACAGGCCTCTTTTGAAACGTGACCTTTTTCGTTACCCGAATCACAAAACTTGCATTTGTATATTAACAATTAGATGCAGAACTTTCGGGTGGCACTCGGAAATTTACTGCTTAACCCACTGAAACCGACACTTCTTTGAAGAGAAATTCCCCTCCTAAAAAATGTCATAACTTTTATTTCAAACGTGCGAAAGACTTAAAGCGTATCTACGTCGCTTCATACAAGCCATTTCTAGATACACTAGCGCGACTGTCTCGACCAGTCTGCGTTGAAACGAGAGATGAAGAAAAAATGTTGAAAAAAGTTTTGTATTTCAAATCATAGCCTCATACACAGGCCAGATGGACTCAACATCTAATATCGCAGAAGTAGACATTTACGTCATCTTCAAAACGAGATAAGAGTGGCTATCTAGAGCGAAACACAACATATTCAATAAACAAAGAGAGCATGTTTCCACTAACAGTTTCAAGCGTGCGCAATTATTGTTTGATTATTGTTATGCATGATGATTACTAGTTTTTTTAGCCATATCTATATTAAAAAATAGTGTCATCCCGCCAGTATAAGGTTAATGTCATTGATATTCGCAAATCATAAACTTTTTATGAAAACTATATATATAACCCTGGAATAAATAACATAATACGGTAACATTTTTCATTCAATAATCTTGCTGCACACTTACACAAATATTTATATTGTGATATTTATATTTGTGTGAATGCTGAAGTGTGCAGCAAGGCTATTGAATTAAATAGACTAGTCATTTTCACTCTTGCTATAACTTCTTCGCTTTATACGCATCCACCTGCGCAAAGGCATAGAGCAAGGAAAGGTAGTTAGTTTCACGTAACCCCAACTGATAGTAACCATAACCTTACCATTTGTTTCTTGTATACACGCTTAAACAATTTTTTTTTATATATAACAGATATATATAGTCATGGAACATCTTAAAAATGGTCGTGATACTGTTAATAAGTATATTCTTACGCTTATTTAATTTTTCCAAATAGGCTAGGCCCATTCTGTCGGTTGCATGCTTAAAATATAGAATTTTACGTGACCAGGTCAGTTTGCACGCTCGGCGTGCCATGACCTCTGATTGCACGCCCAATTTCTTGTGGAGAAGGGCCATGAAATCCACACTGGACGCAGTGGCGCAACCAGGCCATTTTCAACGGGGGGGGGGGTCCGACCGGAATTTACACAGTGCAACCACGTCGTAAGTCGCAACGCCACTAGGTGTCACCCCGCTGAAACACGATGAATTGCTCGTGGTTAAAAGGGAAACGCCATCGATTAAATCCCAGTCTTTCGCTTACCTTGCCCTCGTTCACCGGCGCTTCGCTATGTCTTGCACCTCGTGGGTAGCAAAACGCCGTTCATTACATTCCAGCGAATTGCTAACGAAAAGCTGTTAATTATTTTCAACGTTTCCCTCGCTTTGCGCCTCGTGGATAGTGAAACACAACTTGAATAAATTCCAGTGTTTCCCTTGTGCCGCGCCTTGCTCGTTGGATGAATTCGTCAAGACTAAAAACAAAATACACTTCTTGCGAATGAACCTTTTCCCCGACCCTAACCCCAGAAAAAATTCGAAACTAAACTGAAGCTCACCGGAAGACATAATGACAATTAAAATACTTGATTTACAACTAATTTTTGGAAACACAACTAAAAACTGACTAATTTAATGCAGGGATGTCCAAATCGAATTTAAATTCAAATATCGCAAACTTCAAATACTGTTTTTTCGTGTTTATAATAATCCCGAATATGGCGCACATATCCCAGCGTCGTCGTCCATGTGTGGTTCGGCAATATATTACAGCTGACATAAAAGAATTTCGATAAACGCCGACTTGAAAAACTTATAAGACTTCGAGGACGTTTTTGATTGAAAATATTTTCTTATCGTGTATTTTAACTTAGTCGAGATGGTTTAGGCGTCCTCGGCAAATTGTGTCCTAATTAGTTGTTTTCATCCTCAGTTTCGATAGTGACCGAACATAACAGGGAATTTTTTCATTTCTTGTAATTTATATCGTATAAAATAGCTCTTAAATAGTATTTAATATCTATCGCGGATTTCGTCGGCATCCGGCGTTGATGACAACATTGTTCAGTTTAAGTTAGCGGTATTCATTTACAAACAAAAATACATAACAGACGACATGAAATATTCAAATCAGCGCAGAGTTCAAAAATAAAACCCTTTTCATGGTCTTAATATGCACATAGAAAGAAGAAAGGACAGAAATAACGACTAAAAACTAAGAACGATATGGTATGTTTGTGTACTTTTGTTTACCATCGTCATCATAATCAAATTAGTTTAAACCGATTCCCAAATTTCCGTCCGCCAATAATGGAGAATAAAGATGGGAAAACGTGTTTTACTTTTTGAGTCGGCGTTGATTTAAATTTTTCATGATATGTGTTATAATTTTTTGATTATAAACCAATACCTCCAATTCAAAATGAACGATATTGTTATCAACGACGTCGGGATAACAATAAAATCTCCGATAGAAATCAAATAATATTTAGAAGCTATTTTATAGATTGCAAGAAATTAAAAAAAAGTTCGATAACTATCGAGACTGAGGATGAAAACAATTAATTAGGGTAGGATTTGCTTTTAAGTTTATTGCCGAGGCGCACAACATATCTTGACTAAATTGAAATATACGATAACAAATGTAAAAAATTTTCAACCAAAAACGTCCTCGACGTCTTATAAGCACTTCAAGTCGGAGTTTATTGAAAACCTTCCAGACGAGTTATTGCCGTGCCACACATGGCTGCTTTCGATTGTGATAAAAA